TAATGGCGAACCAACCAGATATCGTGATCATCGATAAAGGGCAGAGGAAAGCCGTTGTAGTGGATGTAGCGGTCCCAAGTGATGGAAACATCAGAAAGAAGGAACATGAGAAACTCGAGAAATACCAAGGGCTCAGAGAGGAGCTGGAGAGAGCCTGGAAGGTAAAGGTGACAGTCGTGCCTGTGGTGGTCGGAGCACTCGGGGCAGTGACCCCCAAACTAGATGAGTGGTTGCAACAGATCCCGGGAGCAACATCGGACATCTCAGTCCAGAAATGTGCAGTGCTGGGAACAGCAAGGATACTGCGCAGAACCCTCAAGCTTCCTGGCCTCTGGTAGAGGACCCGAGCTGAATGAGGGATGGACACCACCCGAGGGGTGAGACGAGGATTTTATTTTTTTTTTTTATATATGATTTTTACTGACTTACCAGGTTTGTCGACCTTTCTGATGTAGTCGGACAAAAAAACGTACTTAAAGTACAGTAATAAAAAAGTAGACTCACGAGGATATTAATTTAACAAAGAAAAAGGCGAATCTATATGAGCTTTTAGCTCTCCGAATTGCACCTTTATTAGTCACTGAAATACAGTATGTACTTGCGGGCTTTGCACCCTCTCCTAAACTTTTTCGTGTGTTCTCACTGTCCTCAGCTCCGACTGGTGATCGAAACGCACCTCTCAGTCCATTGACTTCAACCACAGCGGTGAGATAGAGACGAATTAAAGGGATGACTTATTGTTTGCTAATTCAACTTTGGCTTCAGTCCATCTCATTTTAGCTGCAAACACTTTTCTATGGCTCTCACGCTTGTAACTGAGCGGACCTGCTCCACACACTCTTTGGCTCACTACCGCTTCCTTCTTTTCTGGGTTCTTCAGTCTTACGTCACACATGCCGGTCACGGTGCATTCTGCCACTCATATGTATTTTTTAAGCATTCCGCTTCTCATTTGTTCCACAAAACATCATTCACATTAGACATATACTAATTAGTTCCGTGAAAAACAGTACACGCCTGACATTTTCATGTATTTATAAAATTTCGTCCGGACATCCAGACAGGATATAAACAAGCGTAAATGTCCGGGTAAAAGAGGAAAATTGGCATCGTAAGATGGCTGCTGGTGGCTTCACTTCTCGCAACGGCGAGTAAGGCGGCGTAAGCAGTCCGGTTATTTTATACATCCGGTGACGGCAGCGCGAACACCTTACGGATATTCTTGGTGAATTTAATTCAACGTGGTTACTGCGTAAATGCGGCACATTACGCAATTTACGTTAATGTTTGGTCGTAGCTTAGGACCAGGTCACAGGAAATGATACAAGAGTGGAAAAGGGGACACATAAATTGGGACAGCAGAGTGATTGAGAGACACGGGTTTCAAATAAAATATTCTGGATCAACAGGACATGTCACAGGTGAGATTGTGCATCCATATGTCTTTATTTAGAGCACCCAACAAAAGCTGTTGGCTTCGCTTGGAATAAACCACTTAGCTAGCTAGCTAATACCGTGAAGGTGCGTGGTAGCTATAGTAAATGCCGTACGTCCGTGTGTTTATATTTAGGGTTAAACTCCGTTTCATTGTGTATAAAGAAATGACGCAGGTGCGCTTGTAAGTAACCGTCAGGGATATTTTCACTTGCTCGTGAGATTGCCAAGAGCGATACGTTTCTCTATTTGCTAGCCGTGCTAGCAAATTACGGTGGGTTAAATTGCCACTTTTGAAATTATTTGCGTTCATCTAAGACAATTTTGCGGTTTCGGAGTTGTATGACAAATCATTTTCAGCTTCACCTAACAATTACCGTTTTCCGACACGGAACTAACCACACCAAAAGAAGTTCTCCATTAAAGTTAGCAGCCATGAAAAAGAAATGTTTTGCACACATTATGCACGTATAAATTGTATTCAGAGGGGGAATTAGTCCAAAATAGTGTAAAATAATAATAATTAAAGAAAAAACAAATTATAAATAGCTGTTGGCTATTTTGGCAGCTTTTATTGTTTGTAAATGGGTAGATGATTAATGCCTAGCCTGTTTGATGTCTGTGGTTCCTGCTGGAATTGTTCTAGACTATTTTTAAAGAATAATTAAATAATATGCCACACGATATATATTAGTTTGAAATTGCATGAAATTAACGGCAATTTACACATTTTGTGGAAACCCACAATGCCCTGGGAAAGCGCAATTTGGCGAAACCCCCCCCCCCGCCCCCCCACAAAAAAACACTAATTTTGAGGGTCTCAACATGCACAAAAAGTTTGTTGCACACGCATCAGACCCGGCAAAATCATTTTTAAAATTAGTTTATTGTGCTTGTGTTTTTTTTTTTTTTTTTTTTTTTAAATAGCTCACTCATTTGTATTCTTTGGCTTTGACTCAGCATGACGCAGAGTTGATCTTAGTTTTACTGTTTTTGTGCTGTCTACTGTCTTCGTTATTAATTTATTGTTCTATTGTTTATTGTTGTTTATATGATATTTGCTCCATGTACAGCACTTTGTATACAGCTGTAGTTGTTTTAAAAAGTGCCCTATAAATACAGTTGAGTTGATCAGTGATGTTATTGCAAGTAAGAAACATCACAGCTACCAGCATGTTTAAAATATGTAAACAGTCGCAGTACTTTACATATTTGAGACAAAGATTACAACAGTACACATTTACTTAAGTGTTTCATGATAAAAACTTATACAGTAATTTCATCTGTGCTGTATGTTGCACATAGAGCACATTTGACAATAAAGTTGACTTGAACTTGAACTCTTGCCTTGTACAGGCTAGCTAGCTTCACTTGGAGACTTTTCTGCTGGAGGCGCTGATGAAGTAGCACCTCCAGCTGTGGTTTTTAAATTGGAGAAAAACATGGTGATGGGTTACGCAATGACGTTTATCTTGTCTTCTTCTTCATTGGAATAGGTTTAAAGTCTCTTTTTTTAAAAACAATGGTCTTTGTTTTAGTGAAGAAAAAAATGCTTACCAAGCTGACAGTTTCGGCTGTCATTTCAGCCTTCGCCTGAGCTGTCAGTGTCAAGGCTGCAAACCAACTCTCCGGCGTCGCAGTTGAATCAATGTGTCCCTATTGGTGCCATCTCCGATGAACATGCTTACACACATCCACACAGCCATTGCTTTGGCAGTGACAAGGGGTTGGAGCGCAGTTTCACTAATGCAAAAAAGTAATCACTTAAAAAAAAAAAAAAAATCTCGAACACAACACGAAGATACAGTTTGCGAAACAGTCAATAGACAGGCACTGATGCACAGCCAGTTCGCTGACGGGATAAATCTACTCGTGCTCTCACTGGTCAATGTCGCGCCAGGAACCAAGCGTGCACCTTCTTTGACTGGGCATGTACAGGGTGACCCAAAAAGATGTGTACCCATGAAAATTTCAATTGTGACTTTGATTAAAAAGCTATTTATTTCAAATTACAACCACACATTATTCAGTTTATGGAAGACCATTCACCAGAGTTTCAGCTATTTCTGTCAATTTTTAGTCAATTTATGGCTTTCCCAAGATGTGTTCCAAATGTCCACCATTCCGTTGCAAGCAAACCTGTACTCGGCTGACAAAGTTGTCAATCACTTTTACACACTCCTCTTTCGGGATGGCTCTTATTTTTGCTGTGATGGCAGTTTTCAGTTCCTCAATTGTTTGTGGATTTCCCTGGTATACATTGTCTGAGGAAACCCCACAGAACCCCTCACTGCAGCAATGTTTTCTTCTGTCCTTGCACTCTTTTTCCTGCCTGAATAAGTTCCCCCTGTGGCTTTAGAACATAAGTTCACTACAGTCCCATGCTCTCTGAACTTCGTAACCCAACTAACAATCGTTGATTTTGGTGGAAAGTTGCGACAATGGAAACGTTTTCGAAACTGAATCTGTACACTCTGGTATGATTTTGTCGCAAAATAGATCAGCCTCTGAGGCAAACCTTCTCTCTTGTGCAGCAACATGAAACAACACGTCTTTCCGCAATACGGGTGCCGATATGACTGTGTTTGAAATGTTTTAAATTCGTATTAGTTTTAAAAAAACGAAACACTGAAGCCACAAAACTTATGTTACAATATGTATTTCAACTTTACAACGGCAGTATCACAAATGCAATATTATGCAATCATGCATTTCTGTTCCTCAGGTGTGTTCATGGAAGAGTAAGGCATTAAGAGATTTAATCATGGAACCACGATTAAGTGTTTCCTAATCCAGATTGTGTTCCAGATTTGTAAGTATATTTTTGGATAGATTTTGTTCAATATTTTGAAATTTCAACGCTTAATTTTCTCTGCTCGCTGCTCTCTGCTTTTGATATAGTGTCCTAATCTCCTTTTTTTAGTGAATTTGTGGAAAATCCGGTATGAAATAAAATAAAGTTCACAGCGGGAGGAGTTCTGCCCATTATTCTCCATCTCGTTGAAAAATGGCTGGCCTGAAGCTCGTCACCCCGGCCACATCTCCCATGGGGCCTTTTTTTGGACTTCCATGGCAGCAGGAGGCTATTCACGATAATATCTATACACCTAGAAAATATCAGGCAAGTAGTTGTTGCTTGTTCAATTGTGTTCAATGAATTTAAGTCATTTGCGTGATTTTTGTATCAAGAGTCAATCGTGAGGCACATTTATTGGTTGGGTTTGTGGAAAAAGACACAGTTGCTCGTGTGTTGATATACAATGTACAATGAAACCTCCCAAGTCGAACACTATCCATTCGATAAAGCTTGTCTATGTTTTGTTCCAAGTTCAAAACAACATTTCCATGAATAATCATCATACATCGATAGAGAGAAGCTAATCATGATGTATTAATACTTAATGTTGGCATAGGGCCGAATCCTTGTACAGTCAAACCTCGGTTTTTGTCCAGAATCCGTTGCAGAAGGCTGTTCGAAAACCGAAATTGTTCGAAAACCGAAACCACGCTCTTTTTAAAATAAAAATGTTTACTGATCACGTCTGCTCACAATGGAAAGCAACACGAGGAAGCGTCACTTCCTCGTCTACCCGAGGAAGCGTCACTTCCTCGTGTAAGGAAGGCGAGAGGAGTCAAATGGTGCATTCAAGTGCGCTCAGTTTGTTCGAGAACCGAAATTTGTTCATCATCTGAGGCATAAAAAAATAGAAATTTTTGGTTGAAAACCAAATTGGTCGAGAACCAAGACGTTCGAAAACCGAGGTTTGACTGTACCTCCAAAATCGTCACTTTTCAGGAGACATTACAGCATCAAAGAGAGCAAGCCATTTTCAACACTTGTAAAATTTACCCCCATGCACCGACCAATAGTACAGATTTGTGAAAACATATTGCATTGAATTGTGACGTAGTTTTCAACCTGACGCAAGCAATAGGAAACAATAAATCAATCTTGACACACACACACACACACACACACACACACACACACACACTCTCTTTTTTTTTTTTTAAATGACAGAAAAGAAGTAATGAGGTGGTGATGCCACTACTGTGCTACTTTATGCACTTTAATCAATCAAACTATTTATAGTATATAGCACAGTGTTAATTTTAACAAGGAATTTTAATTTAGTTTTAGCTGTAGTCTTTTGACTAAAATGAAAGTTTTTGTCATCATTTAGTGAGCCGATTCTATTTTAGTTTGAATCCAATTTTATTTCACAAAAACGGAGAAATATTAGTCAACTAAATTAATAATGTAGTTGATGTTTTCCTTCAGCATACATCAAAACTTTTATCCAGAAAAGTATCCCATATATTTGTAAGTGCACTTCAAAACACAAGACACACATTGAACACAACTGTGTCTTGATTAAATTTATTTTCAAGGAAGAATATTGAAATGTCAATATTGTGCAACCTTAAAAATTAGCAATTACTTTTCAACTGAATAAAAACAAACATGTGCATAATTGCCCCAGATTAATTACAATGAATGTAACCATGTTTGATCATAAATCTAAATAAAGTGCAGCACGCAGTCCTTGCTACAACAATCCTGGTAACCACAGGAGGCTTACATTTATTTACTGTGATTTTTGTTGCCATTTCTTTTTGAATATCTCATTAATGACTTGAATCTTCTTCCACAGGTTGAACTTCTTGAAGCAGCTCTTGAACATAACACTATTGTCTGCTTAAATACTGGCTCAGGAAAGACATTTATTGCAGTTCTCTTAACAAAGGAGCTCTCCCACCAAATTCGTGGACAATATCAAGAGGATGCAAAGAGGACTGTGTTTCTTGTCAACTCAGGTACTTGCCAAATACAATTCATGCCGTGTTTTGTGTGTCCCAACTGCCATTTAGTTTAGTACTGAATTATACTTTTTTTATAGCAGTTGTCTTATTACCACATATCATTTGGCTTTGTGGACAGAATATATAGATATAGATATATAGTATTTAGATCTATATCGAGAGAGAGACAGAGAGAGAGAGTATATATATATATATATATATATATATATAAATATATTATAAATATATATTTTTTTTCTCAAGTGAATTCAACAAAATGTCAGTATGATAAGCTTCTGAATTTATTCTTTTAAATAATTTTGTCATAATACTCACCATTAATGTGAATGGTTTTCAGTTCCAGAAATTAGGGTATATACATTTTTTTTTTCCCCAGAATTTTCAGGAAAGTCCACTTTCATCTCTGATACAAGGATTTCCAAATCATGTTCAACTTATGTTTAATTGAATACACTACAAAGACATATTTCATGTTCAAACTGATGAACTTTTTCTTTTTAGCAAATAATCATTACCTTATCATTTTATGGCTGCAACATGTTCCAAAAAAGCTGTGACAAGTGGCAAAAAAGACTGACAAAGTTGAGGATGAGTCGTCAAACACCAGTTACATGACGCTCAAAAACAAAACGCTGAAGCCCGCAAAATGAGTAAAAAAGCTGCTTGGAGGTCGCAAATGACGGCGGCCTTAAAAGTACGTTCGAGACAACTGGATTAAAGTTATGGCTGAATACTCTGAGATCGCCACAATAGCACTGTTGCTATTTCCGACATCCTACCTGTGTGAGGTGGGGAGTTTCTGCAGCAACGGCGACTAAAACAAAATTACGAAGTAGACTGGACATAAACCACACACTTGAGGTGTCATTGTCTCCTATTACGCCGAGATGGGACTGTCTGATTGCAGAAAATCAAGCTCGGGGCTGTGGTGAGTCGTCATTTTCATGCACTTTGAATTTGCGTTGTATCGTATTTTGAAGGCATTAAACATTACCAGAGCGATAAGAGTGTTGCGACCAGATTAGACGCTCCTTGTGTTTATTATTATATTTCGAAAACACCACAGTTTTCATGCAGCTCATACCATATTATTTTGTTGTATTAATCCGCCACACCTTAAATGCCGGTCCCTGAAAATAATGTCTGACTTAAACCGGTCCGTGGGGCAAAAAAGGTTGGGGACCCCTGATCTAGGGTCCATAATATCATCAAAAGGTTAGAGAATCTGAAGTAATCACTGCCATGTGAGCAGCAAAGCTGAAAACCAACTTTGAATGCCCGTGACCTTCGAGCCCTCAGGCGGAACTACCTTAAAAACTGACGTCAATGTTTAAAGGATATCACCACATGCGCTTTTGGAACACTTCAGGTAAACCATTGTCAGTCAATACAGTTTGGCACCACATCCGTAACTCCAATTTAAAACTCAAATCTGCAATGCAAAGCAAAGGCATTTATAAGACCGTTATGGTGGCCGGCTTCACTATGCTAACGTTCACGGAAACGGCAGTGATGGTGGTGGCGGCGTCAGCCGAATGCGGGCACGCTGCAGATGGGATAGTCAGCTTGGCCTCGTTGTGCCGTCTCTTCAACGGTGTGTCAGAATATGTGGAAGCGGTTTGTTATGCAAACAAAGTTGGGTACCGTACCACTGCCCTTAACTGTGCTAAATCAGCGAGGGTATCACAGTATAAGTTATAGGGGGGCAATTACATTTTCGGAGTTGCTCGAAGCTCAAAGATGTGAAAAAACTGCAACGGTTGCCAAGGGCCACGCCGACATACTAACTCAGTTGTGTTAAGCATAAATTTAATGTTTTTTTTTTTTAAATAAAGAACTTGTTATTGTATTGCCATTTGTGTAGCCCTAGTATATCTTTTTGTAATTACAAAATTAAAATTGTCACATCAAAATGACGTACCTCCATATTTTAACATTAAATCACTATTTGATAAACAGTCACACAAAAAACATGTCAACAGTTTTTTTTTCCATACTTTTAGTGTGCTGACATTATAAGCACAAACCGTACAGTATTAGCTGTTCTTTTGAGTACCAAATAATTCCAAGGGCAAATAGCGCTCAAGACCTTTCAATCCTGGCATCTTCTGTACAGCTGAGCAGGTGTGCTTAACTGTCACCAACCAACCTGTGTTCTTTTTCACCAGTAGTGGGCAGTGGCTGCTCCTGAGTGACCCTCTCTTTTTTTTTTTAATGCTGCGTGTCATTTTAATTGTTTTATGTTGGACCTGATTCACATGGTATTGACGTACTCACTGGGAACTCTCCACAAGGGTAGTGCGCCACGTTTCCTGTGGGCTGCCAGTTTTCCGTGGCTGAGTTTGCCCAAATGTGTGAATCAAAACTGACATTTTTTGCTCAAAGACCAAAGTGACGAAAGCGTTTTTTTTTTTTTAATCAAACTGAAACTTCATGGGTTTTTCACATTAAATAGCCATGCCATTTTTACTGAGCGAATGCGGACCTGAAGCGCAATGCCGATCAGTTTGCAGGACACTCACAAGTATTTTCATGTAATTGTTTTGTGCATTTGTACGTTTTAGTTCCTGGGGATGCAAATGGCACTAATTTGTTGAATGGCCTTTCTTGATAAGAATTAACAGAATGAGGGATTCCTCTGAGTACATTTGATTTATTTAGTGGTAAACAATAGATTTACAGCATTGTTTATTGGCGTGTACATACTAAAATGGCGAGTGCAGGCAGCTACATATACGGTGGATGGGTGTGACTTCTCTCATCTACAAACGACACGATTGATTTCTGACCTTGTTAAATGCAAGTGGTGGGTAACAAGTTGGGCTGTCACCAAAATAATGTACACTTGTTAAACTTCTATTTGAAGTTACGTTGTTTGGATGTCTCACAATTACTAACTTGTCTGTCGCTCTCTCAACCCTGAAGCCGTTCAGGAAGGCAGCGTGATGTCAGACAACACAGACTTGGGCTAGTTCACAAATATTTTTTGGTTTGCCCTTAGTGTTGACCTATTGTTTGTGTCTCCTTGTTGCTCCAAACACAATTTAAGGCGCTGCCGAGCGAAGGGGGAGCGCTAGCTTTGTGTAGAGAGCCTATGTGTGCGTGCTTTTGTTTGTGTTAGGCTCTTCCTGCCTGTCTGACCACTGCGCCCCCCTCCCCCGCAAGAAAAAAAAAACATAACATTGTGAAATGTGAAATTTTAAGGTATTACCCGTACTCCTCTATTTTACAAGGTGTAATATAAAATATTAAGCTATTACCCGTACTGCTCTATTTTACAAGGTGTTAATAACTTTTCATTATTTGGTCCAGTAAAATTTCAGAAAGTAAAGAAAACAAAGTTTTTGCCCCGATCCCCAATTAGCTGAAAACCACCTGATCACCCCCGATTTCCGGTCATGTAATTGGATTGGGACATTCCTGGTGAATTTCCTTTCTTTTTTCTTTTTTTAAAATTTTTTATTGTGGCCTCCATTTGTTTATAAAAATAATTGTGGTTTTGTGCTGAAGATGGCTGTGTCCTGATACTTATAAATAATGTTTTCATTTTTTGGGATGTAAATTTAAAATTCGTCATGGTTTTTGTGCAGCCTTGGCTGTTGTTCAGCAAGCAGCTGCAGTCAGAACTCACTCTGACCTCCAAGTGGGAGAGTACACAGATGTGGAAGAGACTTCAACGTGGACTTACAATCAGTGGAGTGAAAAGATAATCAAGCAACAGGTATGTGGATTCCGCCTTATTTCTGATTAGCTGTCTATCCCTCGAAATAAGAGTGATGTTGTCTGACAGCAGAGATGGTAGGTTGATTGTATCTTTTATCCGGTTGGTTTCAAATACTGCAGGAACTTAAAAATGTAGGCTTTACATCAAACAATGTAGCATTGTTCTTTGGTTAATATGACTATATTTCCTGCACTCTAAATTGCTTCAGATTATAAAGCGAACCTTCAATGAATGGCCTATTTCAAAACTGTTTTCATATATAGGGCGCACTGCATTTTAAGGCACATAGAATAGAAGCTACAATAGTGGCTGTGGTTTCATTGTGCATCCACGAGCTTTTGATACGCTAAAAGAAATACTATACAAGATATCTTTATTTATATAGAGCCTTTACAACCGCTGCAGCTGAAACAAAGCACTTTACATAACTTTTAAATTACTTTGTCCAAGAAATCAGAATATTGATCCATATGTAGCTCCCTCAGGATGTAACATGAAGCCTGACACAAAGTCCATAAAAATACAAGGTTTGTTCATTTGCAAGCTGTAAGAACTGGTCACCAACACAGACATGAAACTTGTAAATACAAGCATGACAAAACAATAAATGAAAAACAAACGTTATGAGGACAATTGATTCAACAAAAAGGCACACAAACCTGGTGGGCTCACATCCACAAGTGGCTAAATATCCTTAGAAATCTTGCTTGTCTCCTTCCTTCGTTTAGTCAGTAGTTAACCATGCTTTTGGTGTTATCTTCGTTTCAAAATGGCTTCACAGAGGTCACAAAATCGTCTGAGTATGTGTTAGCGAAAGCACATGTCAACTTGTGTCGGGCAGAACCTTTTTACGTTGCATTTTGTTTCTGCTAATAATCACGACTAGATAGCATAGGAACACCAACAGGGAAACAACTCAATGAAGTTCTCGACTCAATAGAGACTAACTCACACCATATATAAGCGCATCGGATTATAAAATGAATTGAATGCTTTTAGGTGTGCCTTACAGTGCGGAAAATACTGTCCATTCAATTGCCTGGAGTATCCTCCATGTCAGTGGTTCCCAACCACAGTAGTCGCCGTGTGTGTGTGTGTGTGTGTGTGTGTGTGTGTGTGTGTGTGTGTGTGTGTGTGTGTGTGTGTGTACACACACACACAAAACGCCTGTTCAGCGATGCACGGCGTCTAAATTCACCTGCTTACACTCTATACCCTGGAAAATAAGCTTAAAGTCTACCAGGTGAATAGAATGCGTGACTGGCTGATTGACCCGGAAAGGGAGTAAGCAGAAAAAAATAAACACTTGCGATGACCGATAAGTAGAGCAGAGGTCCCCAACCTTTTTTGCCCCACGGACCGGTTTCATGTCAGACAATATTTTCATGGACCAGCCTTTAAGGCCAGATAGATACAATATAATATATGACCAGCATGAAAAGTGTGGTATTTTCGAAACATAATAATAAACACGAATCATGACACGAGGAACGTCCTATCTGGCCGCAGCATTCTCTGGTCATGATGGTAACGTGTGACCCATGTGTTACAATTTCTACAATTTTTGTAGATTTTTGCGTATTGTCATCTTTAAATCAAAGACAAAGCACAATAATTGTGTGATATGAAATATTCCAATTCATGTTTTATTTATATAGATTTATATTTATGTTTTGGTCATAGCACAATACCGCTTTTATTGTCCATAGAGGGCAAAAATACAAAGAGAAAAATAAGAACTATATGTGTATGTATAGCACTGATGCCACTGAACATGTCGAGTGGTTGAAAGTAAAATAAATATTCAGGAATAATACTTTTACAATTTATGTAAAATTGTATGTTGCGTTATATAAACTTATTTACATCGACTGCAGCATATGGGATTTATACGTGCCTTCAAAATAAGATACGCCGCAAGTAAAAAGTGCATGAAAAATACGACTCGCCATCGTCACTTATTATGCAGAGTGTGCTTGGTGCGTGTGAATCTCCCGTTGAGATAAAGCCGTATTTAAAATAGGACTCCTGATACTGTCTATTAAATGTAGCCTTCTCTTTCTTGAAAGTCGTAGGCTCCTCTTCTGTCTCCTGGCTGGGCCTTTTCCCCTTCCCAAAAAAAAAAAAAAAAAAAAACTTTTCAATGACGTTTGCTTTTTATTCATTTTCCTAGCTCCTGGGTTTCATTTCCTATCACGTGACCAAGAAGCGCGCATTCACCTGCGTCAAAAGTAACATACTGCCGACTGACATAACAGAGAATCCGGTAATTTTTCAAAATAAAACATCCTTCAGATTCCAAAATGAATAAAAACGGAAGGAATGTAAGTCATTTATTCTTTCTGTGCGGCCTGGCACCAAATGACCCACGGACCGGTATCGTCCGCGGCCTGACGTTTGGGGACCCCTGAAGTAGAGGACCGATTTATTTAACTAATTGGTCATCTTTAGGCAATAGCACCCCCCAGTGGACCCACACAGTGCATTATCAATTTCAAGAGTGGTCAAACCCCATAGACAAACAAAAAAAAACAACAATAATATCCAACACGTAATCCGATATACCCACTTGGTACTGAGGTTTTAAGGTATCTGACTGAGGCAGGCCTGTTCAATGTGGAAGTAATGTCACCAGCGGGCCCCGGCGACAAAATGGCGTCCTCCCTCTCCAACACCCGTGGAGTTATGTACTCACCACGCCATGGGTTACCGTCTGTTCATAAAAGCCGCTTCCAACTGGTGGTGGAAGCAGGGTTTTGGGGAGCCAAACTGACTCAAGGTAAAAAAAAAAAAAAAAATCCCACGCCGTCCTCAACGCTTACTTCGTTCATTCCTCCAAGACGTCCCCAGTGACAGTGGGTTACGATCCGTCGAGTTCAGTTCTGTCCTCAACCGTCTGATCGATAATCAAGTATTTTACAAAACTGATCCGACGTGACCAGACGTCACAGTCAAATTACTGCGGACAAAAGATCAAGTTTGACGACACCATGTAGTCCCTGTAAGAAAGCACAGGTCCTCCATGCACAAGCGGCTGGTGCGCGACATATATATGTATCCCCTGGGTTATTTTATGTGCGGCTCTTAGGTAATTCCGCCGGTCCGTCAAGGGCAATAGCACAGGTGGTGATAATTGACCACCTGGTAAAGGAGCGGCACAGTGGACGTGTTACGGAGGAGGAAATGTTTGTTAGCCACCGGCCGCTTATATCTATCTGCTTGGCGCATTGGCAGGACCCTTTACAGTAAATATTCTCTTGTGCGGACTCGTGTTTGCGCTGTCCAATTTGTCCTGATAACAGAAATTCCTCATTTGGGAATTGAGCATGGTACATGTCCTTTATGAACCTGCAAGTATGTTGACAAAATGCACGTGTAACAACACAATCAATAAAATATAAAAAATATACTGTCCAGAAACTGTTTATATAACAAAAACTGCAATACAGGTGTATCCAAAAAAATCACAACAGTAAAATACGTACAGTATTTTAATGTTTATTTTTTTTTCTGTCTTGGGAAAAAAATGTGTCTATTTTGAACTGTTTTGTTGGATGCATTCTTTGGTTTATGACAGTGTTTGCCTGCGTGTCATACAGTTTTCTTGCTAGTTGCAAGTAACTGTCCCGTTGATCACCGATGTCTGGTAATTCTTGTGCATACTGATGGATTTGTTGCCATTTGCATTGCTTCCTCGCTGGATGGTGGCTTGTCATCAGGAGTTGAATC